GCCTCAGCCTTCTGAGTAGCCGGAATTACAGGCATGCACTACCACGCCTGGCTTTTTTTGATTTATTGTAGAGATGAGGTCTCGCTGTCCAGGTGGATCTCGAACCCGCGGGCTCAGGCAATCCACTCACCTCAGCCTCCCAAAGGCATGGGATTACAGGCTGAGCCACTGAGCCCGGCTTGCAAGTTATTTACACTGCAAAACACTGATAAGAGAAACTTTTAAAAACCTAAATAAATGGAATAGATGTGCCATGTTCATGGTTTAGAAGTCTCCATATTTTAAAGATATTTATTTTCTACGGATAAATATATAGAATCAACACATTCCTACCAAAATTCCAGTAGACTTTTTAGAGAAATTGATGAGTTGATTCTAAAATATATATGAAAATACAGGAGATCTAGAGTAATCAAACTATTTCAAAGAAGGAGAGAAAAGTTGAAGAACTCACTGTAAGATTAACTACACTCATTAACTCACTTCAAGATAAGCTGGAGTAATCAGCACAGTATGATATTAGCATGGTGATAAACAAGTAGAACAAAATAGACATTCCAGAAATAAATTAACAAGTAAACAGCCAATTATTTCTGACAAATGTGCCAAGTCAATTTAATGAGAAAAGGAAAGTATTTATAGCAATGGTCTGGAACAACCAGATTAATAAATATCAATTAGTTAATCCCAATCCTCTCCATGAAAAATTAATTTATGATACATTAGAGACAAAAAGTTAAAACTTTAAAGCATCAAAAAATATTGGAGGATATTTTGTGAATTAAGTAAAGATTTCTTAGAATATATAAGCACAAATCATAAGTTCAAAAATTAAAAAATCAAACTATCCAAATCAAAACTTTTGCTCTTCAAAATACACTGCTTAAAAAATGAGAAAAAGGTAAGTCACAGTTTTTAAAATCACAAAAGAAATGGACAGATATTTCATAAAAAGAAAAAACCCAAATAGCCTGTAGCACATTAAAATATGTTGAATAGTATTAGTAATTAGGGTAATGAAAATTAAAATTACAGGGTGATACCATTTTGAAAGCACAAGAATGGCTACAATTACCAGTGTGAGTAGGGGAGTGGAGCAATTGGAACACTCAGACCTTTTCAGTAGGAATGTAAAATGTCACAGCCTCTTGGGAAAACTGGCTTTTTTTAAAAAATGAAGTTAACCTTACATTTACCATATGACCAACCAATTCTATTATAAAGCATTCACCCAAGATACATTTTTAAAAACACATATCTGCATAGACATACACAAGAATAATCACAACAGCATTCTTTATAATAGCCTCAACAGGAAAATGTATAATAATTTGCAGTACATTGATATAAAGAAATATTACCGGAGTCGTGAAAAAAAGAAAAAACTATTGATCTTCAGCAGTATGAAAGAACTTCAAAATCATGATAAGTAAAATAGGACAGACACAAACGAGTCAGTACTACAGCACATGATTCCATATATCTGTAAACCAAGTAAACTTAATCTATGTGGAAAAATTAGAACGGTGGTTGTCTCTTGGGGAGTGAAAATGGCGATTGCCTAGAAATAGGTCCAAAGGAACTTTCTGGAATAATGGAAGTGTTGATTACATAGATTTATGCTTTTGTCAAAAACCTTGTCTACTGATTTGCATATTTCACTCTAAGGAATTCTCTTAGTAGATTTGTTTTCACAATGGTATGGGTCCAGACATTTGAATTTTTTTTAACACTGAAGGTGACTTTCATATGGTGTTACATGAGAGCTACTGCTGAGTCTTTACTAGTTTTATTTCATTTCAGGCAACCTGTCTCAAATCTTGCTCTCTGTTATAATTTCTTAGGTAACTTGTAGCTACCTTACTACTCAGCTACCTTACTACTCAAGCTCAAACATCAGCATCACTGTGGGACTGTTAGATACGCAGAATACCAGACCCCAACCCTGACCTACTCTGTATGCTAACAAGATACTGAGGTTAGTCTTTCTGGAAAGCCCTGACTTACATCTCGCAGATGTTAAGTAAAATATCTGTTGAACGCACAGTGCCTGGCAAGTTATAGGGTAGTGCAGATATGACAAACAGGAAGAAAAATGATGACAGGAAAGAACTCCTTTTAAATTGGGTGTATCTGAAATCATGCTCCAAGAAATATTGGCACTGGAGAAAATAACTCAGCTTTCCAATAACTGAGAACAACAACAGCATTTGTTGATATCTAGCTGTTCTACAGAAAGGGATCGGAGGCAGCTCAGATACTGCTGATGGAAAATGTGGAAACATAGTCTACATCTCCTGAGAGTGGGAGCTGCCTAGCAGCCCAGCAGGATTAAGCAAACTTCTTCTGGCTTCCCTTCCCCTCTCTAATCTCGCCCATCTATTTAAGCAGGATGGGCCTTGCAGGCATTGAGTCATTCAAGCTGCACAGTTATCAGTCACTGCTTGGCAATCAGCCAGTGCCTACATGTGGCTTCTGATATTTACTTATTTCCACCAGTTATTATTTCTATACTTGATCATAACCCAAAGTCTGAGAAGCAATTCTGCCTGTTATTATTTCTAATAGTGAGTAAAAGGTAATAATTCAGATTTTTTTTAAAGAGTAGAAATTATTAATAAGGAGGAGAAAGAACCATAAACATGTGAAATATGGACTTTTCTGTTTCTCAAAAGTGTGGCATGTTTTCCTTCTTGTAACAAAAAGGGATATCAATATGCTAAAAATAGTATATTTGCCCTGTATTTAGATTCATCCAAGCAAACTATTAAAGTGCAAATTTTCAGCGCTCTGGTGAAATAATATTTCATTGGGTTTTTGCTCCTTAAGTTGCTTTATTTCATTGATTTATTTATTGACATTTTAATGTGTGCTGCATTTTTTTTTTTTTTTTAGTCAGAGTCTCACTCTGTTGCCCAGACTGGAGTGCAGTGGCACACTCACAGCCACCGCAGCCTTGACCTGCTGGGCTCAGGTAATCCTTCTGACCCAGTCTTCCAAGTAGCTGGAACCACATGCATGCACTACCACACCCAGCTAATTTTTTGATTTTTATTGTAGAGACGAGGTCTCGCCATGCTGCTCAGGCTGGTCTCAAACCCCTGAGCTCAAGTCATCCTCTTGTCTCTGCCTCCCAAAGTGCTGGGATTATAGGCCACCACGCCCAGTCATGTGTGCTGCATTTTAAAAATCATTCTTTACTGTGTGTCTCAGACTGCTTAAGCCACACTGGTTTTGAAGTATAGCCATGTCTTTCTTTCCACGAGATAAAGAATCATCAAGGCTTGGAAACCCTCTTCTACATTGGTGGTTACTCCCAATCTGAAGCCAATGAACAGGAGGAGAGAGAGAGAGAGAGAAAAGTTAAACCAGAAACTTCTACTTAAGAACGATTAATATTACCTAGATTGTCAGCCAGGATGTAAGGAATGGGGAACTTCCACCTGCTGCTTGGGTCTCTCAGGCCATTTCGAGAGTTCTGTAGAAACAAATACAAAGATGAGTGGGAAGCCTGGTCCTTGAAGTCACCTTGACCTCTTCTTTCACAAAACTCTCACACCACAAACAGCTTATCACACAACTCAAGCAATTTAGTGGTAACGTCTTTTGATTATAAATGCAATAGAAGTTCCAGAGAAATAATTTGGAAAAATCAGATAAATTATTAGGAACAAAATAAAGGGCCTTGCAATTCCCCCAAAGTAAGATAGCTGAATTATTTTTTGGAGGACAGGCCCCTTGTAGTTCAGGCTTACCCTGCTAGGTAAGTGTTATAGGAACACGCCAGCATCAGTGTACCCGTTAGTGTTGTGAGAGGTTGCATTCAGCTTCAGTGAAATTTTGTGTGGAAAGTCTTTCATAGTGTTTGCCCATTTCGTGATGGGTGATTTATAAGTACACTTGCCTCTATCACACTGAGTATTCAGCAGTTTTTGACCAAAAACAGCATGATCCCCATGCCCCACCTTCCCTATTCACCCAGTATTGCCCAGAATGACTTTTTTGTTTGTTTCTCCAGATGAAAAAGCCCTCAATGGGAAAAGTATTGCCAATGTGGAAGAGGTGAAACAAAAAACTGCAGAAGTAAAAAGGCATCAAAATTGATGAGTCCAAAAGCTATTCTGAGCAGGAAAAAGAATGTTGATAGGTATATTGCATTAAATGGAGAGTACTTTGATGGTGACAGAAGTTTGCACATGTAAGAACAAGTACACAATTTTTTTAAAGTAAATTCTAGATTTTGAGGCCATCCATCATAGATTTGTTATCTTCCATCTCATTCTTCACTTATTAGGAAAGTTAAATTGGCAGACCATTTAGTAATTATAGATTCTTTTGTGCTGTTTGCTTGTTTTTCCTGGTTTTTGTTTTGCTGTTTTTTCCCTCCAACTGCAGTGAAAGTCCTTGCAGGCACAGATTATAGATGAGAATTCCTCATCTCTTCCACAGTGCCCACCCCATGGCTGGCCACAGAGCAGAGGGTCAAAACCAATGACACAGCCTCTCTGAGGAAGCTTATTGTGTTATTGGTAGCTACTCACCCGCAAGAGGATGTCCCCTTGAAAGAGATCCAAGCCTGCAGCTAGATGTGGATTTAAAAAATATATATTTGAGTGAACATTATTAAAAGACACCTTTCATAATACAATTAATCTCTGCCATTATAAATCTTTGACTACTAATCTTTATATAGTAAATCTCCTTTTGAAACAATGCAAAAAAATTCTTCTCATTGAGTAAATGAACAGCCAATAAGTATCAAACGTTGTCATATCCTCTGTTTTCAGTATTGGAACAAGAAGCTTTGTCTAAGAATCTTAGAAGTAAGATTTGAGTCAGAAGGGATCTTATTGATCATTCACTCTAAAACTCTCATTCTTCAAAGGAAGAAAGAGACAGGAAGCGAGGCACTAGGTGGTCCTGGCTGAGTGAGTATCAAAACTCCTGCCTTCTCATTCAGGGTCTTTTCTGCTACTGTGCCATCCTGCCTCCTGTCCCTAAGTGGGTTAATTTTGTTTTTTCGCCATGAAAAAATGATGATACTGCTTTATTATTGAAAAGCTTGAAACTGCTCCCTATAAGTGTATACTAACTTTACAAATATACTGTTAAATTGTAATACCTTCCAACAGCAAGCTCAGTGCACTGTTCTTCCTTATTATAAGGAAGACTAGAGAAACATGAATAGATTCATTCAAAACTGTGTCTCTAAATGTCAGCTGTCAGATGCTTAGCAGAATATACTCTCCCACTGCTGGCATTACTTGGTTCTGGCCTCATACTGTTTCTGATGGCAAGGTTCTTTAAAGGGAAGATCTTTATGGGAAGATTTCTCAAGCATTTAAAAGAAAATCACTTCTCATCATAACTCTCATGTGACAAGCTGCATTCCCTGTGAAATGCAGACAACTTCAGACAGGATTGCTGGATTGTACTTCAGTCTGAGGACAGCTCCTGATTTACAACTGGGAAACTAAGGCAGAGAATAATCACCACAGCCTCATGTGCAAACAGAAGCCTATGGCTCCTCATTCAGGAAAACTGGATCTGTCTTTGCAAATGACACCGAGGAAGGAGTTAGGCACTGGGAGGCATCATGGTTTCACCTGCTAATGACTAACTAAAGCTGTCTCTGCTACTGCACTCCAGCCTAAGTGACAGAGTGAGACTCTGACTCAAAAAATACAAACAAAATTTTCTTTAAAAAAATGTAAAATGAGGTAAAGAAGGAAAGAATTCTGAGGTGATGGGGGGGCTGCTATTGTATTATAGGGTGGTCCGAAAAGGGCTCCTTGAGGAGGTAACATTTCTGCAGAAATCTGATAGAGTGAGGGAATGAGGGAAGAGTGTTGGAGGCAGAGGCAACAGCAGAGAGGCAGGTCCTGAGGCAGGAAAGCCTTAATGTCTCAGAGCAATGGTCCTCAAACTTAAGCAAACTTAAGCATAAGAATCCCCTGGAGGGCCTGTTCAACACAGACTGTTGAACACCACCCCTTGGGTTTTTGGTTTATTAAGTCTGGTGCAAAGACTGATAATGTTCATTTCTAACAAGGTTTCTGATGGAGCTGATGCTGCTAGTTGGGGGATCATTCACTGAAACCACTCAGAGAGGGATAGCTTTGCAGCCAGGGTAGCTGAAGAGCCCAAGTCAGAAAGGGGAAAATAGCAAAAAAAATGGGGCCAGAGAGGGCGACCAGGGGTAGACCATCTTACACTCCAGTGTGTATAGGAATCACTTGGGATCTGTCAAAATGAAGATGCTGGTCCTGTAGGTCTGGAGTGGAGTTCCAGAATGCTGCATTTCTAAGAAAGCTCTTAAGTGATGAAGGTGATATTGGCCTGTGGACCACACTCTTATTTTGTGTTGAAGGAGAAGTTTTAGAATGTTAGATCAGAAAAGTGACACGATCAGAATGATAGTAAAAGGAGAGCTCTGTTTATGCCGTGCAGAATAGTCTGTAGGGGACAAAGGCAGAGAGGGAAGTGCAGTTATGAGGTCACTCAAAAGACCCAGCCAAGGCAACCCCTTCGGGTCCCCTCCCACTGTGGGAGCTTTACTGTCCTCTCAATAAATCCTGCTTTCAAACAAAAAAAAAAAGGACCCAGCCAAATGTAACATGGCTGACACAGTGGGCACAGCAAAAGTGCTGAAAAACCTCGACTTGTGATGTGATGTGAAGGTAGATTGAATAGAGTTTGCTGACAGATTGTGTATAAGGTGTGAGAGAAAGACAAGAGTGAGGGGTAACTGAGCTTCTGAGCCTAAATGAAAAGACTGAGAGAAGCAGATCTTGGGGTGGAGGATAAGAGAGGTTTTCAGCATTGCAAGGTGTGGAGAGAAGGTAATTAAAAGGTGGAACCTTTTCTGTGTAACTTCCCCAATTCATTTTCGATATTAGTATCTGACTATACAGCTCAGCCAATTAATCCTGGTGGTTTGGTTTGAATGGCCTAACACAGTGTTCCCCAACCTTTTTAGCACCAGGGACTGGTTTCCTGGAAGACAATTTTTCCAGGGACAGGAGGGGTGGATGGTTTCTGGATGATCCAAGCACATTACGTTTACTGTGCACTTTATTTCTATTATTATTACACTGTAATATATGAGACTCTAATGCTGATGTTGATCTGACAGAGGCAGAGCTCAGGCAGTAATGTGAGTGATGGGGAGCAGCTGTACATACAGATGAAACCCGCCAGCCACTCACCTACTGCTGTGCGGCCCAGTTCCTAACAGGCCATGAACTCCTGGCCTAAAAAACAAGTTGGGGAGGCAATCCACACGGTAAAGGGATTTCTTCATGTAGGTTGCAGTTCAGAGGTGTTAGTGGGGCTGAAGAGTAAGAAATGGCTCAGCGGTAAAAAAATTCATTTTTGTTAGATAAAGAAGGATGAGATAAGGAAAAGACTATTTAAAAAGACAGTAGATCTTTTAAAGACAGCAGATTCTCAGAATTGTATACACCCCAACTCACTCTAATATGTTGGTGTCTTGGGTCCATTTGTTTATTCACCCATTTACCTTCCTAAATGATTTCTACTCTGCCCATGCAGCTATCTCAAGCTATTCCAACTAAAAATCAGCTAGCTGCCTTCCTGGTCAGTGAGACAAAGTCAGGAAAATGCAACCCTTAAGTACAGGTTCTGTAGTTAAGGCTTCTGTAGTCTTTAGATAGAACTGAGCTATTGAGGACTGAGTCACAAGACCCGAAAGTGAGACCCTCACTGTCACCTGGGATCCTGGGCAAGTCACCCTAACCATGAGGGGCTGCTCATCCCTTCCTGCAAAATGAAAACAGCACATATCTTGCCTCACTACAAGAGTTGACAAATCAATAAATAAACATGCAATTGGACAGGAAAGCTTTTGTGAACTTAAGGTGTTTTAGTGGAACCTCTGCTTCCACTAATCCTAACCAAAACCCTCAGGAATGTGAAGGCTTCTCTTTCATTTGAGAAGCAGGATAATAGAAGGAAAGGAGAGATGATAACCTGGCTTCTCCTTTCTCTCAATAACAGAGGAGATGGATGGATTTCTTCAAGAAATATTTTTGTAAACAAGACGCCTAGACCAAAATACCCTTACACTCATTTCTAAGTACCAAATAAAGTTATTAATGGGACAGTAGAATGGGTTTTTTCCTCCACTAAATATAATAAGTGGCTTATTCTTAATATTTTTATTTAGTGAGCAGAATAATCATTCATTTTCCCCCCTTTTTTAAAAGATAGAAACTGGAGAAATAAAATTTTAGAAACAGAAAACTTGTTATATATGTCTAGATCGATTGAAGACTCCCTAGCTTGCCTAGAAAATCTGGTTTCATCATTTTCTATATCCACATTTTCATTTTTCAGAAACTACAAATCCTGATGAAGCTCCCATAAGTATTTCTCCCCAAAAGATACACAATACACAAATAAATATTAGGAAAGTAAGTGTTTTACAATAAACTTATCACTGGGTTTTAAGTTATTTCGAGACATTAATGAGGCAAAAATTGAACCCACCTAAATTGATTTCTGAAATATCCTTCTGTTCACCAAAATATGTGTCATATACTGTTAAAAGCAGGGAAAAAAATTATTACTAGTCATACTGAAGAAGACAGAAAATTCAGAAATACTTTCTATTCATTTAAAGTGATTCTTACCATTTCCTTTGGAAAGGTGTTTAATCTGAAAGAAAATAAATAAACAGAAAATAGATAATGTATACTAGAATCGATATTTCTAAATATCTAGAAGATGAGAAGTCTACTCACTGAAACAGCTGCTACGTGGGCAAAAACCAAGGTGAAAGAGAGAATGCAGGTGGGTCTAGTCCAAACCATTGTTGCAAGTGAATTGATTTTAGCAAAGACACCTTGTTATAAATACTTTTAGACCTTGCCCTGACTAGCATATTAAAAACTTTGACCCTTTCATATGCACTGTAATGTTAAAAATGTGGTCAAAGATAACATAGTATCTTCTGAGGACAGATACTAAGCCTTACCTTAAAAGCTTAGCCTTAAAGACTGGGAAGGCTTTGGAAAAATTATTACTGAAATGAACATATGAGAGCCAATAACATTCCTATACACTGACCATAACTGTCCATATAATATTACAGATAAAGGAAGTTCTTAAGAGAAGTACAAATAATCCACAAAATAAGTGTAAAGTATTTAAATCTATTATAAGATGAATTTGAATTTTATGGAAATGTTCAAAAGCAATAATTGAAGGACATAAAAAAGACCTGAGTCTATCTCTTTCTCTCTCTCTCTCTCTCTCTCTCTCTCTCTCTCTCTCTCTCTCTCTCTCTCCCTCTCTCTGTCTGTCTCTCTCTGATTCTTTCCATATGTATATATGAAAAAGTCATGGATTATTCTGATATTAATCTATAAATTCATGTCATTCTGAGAGACCCAAGAGATTAAAAAAAAAAAAACAAAAAAAAACTATACTTACTGTAAAAGAAGCGTTCATTGCATTTTATATATTCCTAACTCACATTCACTATATTTTATAAGTTCTTAGTACTTTAAATCCTACCTCAGACCCCGTAGAACTAGGCACATGTCGGGTGCCGGGTAGTAACTGATTGTATAGTTATACAATGTTTTAAGCAGTGTTTGTACTTAGAACTTTGTTAAGCTTTTGTTTGTCCCAATTGCCATGCTGGCTTCTTTTGCTTCTGCAACTGCTGCTAGCAGTGTGTGAATGTTAAGCAATAAGCCCCTCCCAGACATTCCTTTGCTTAGATTGCAGTAGACTCTGAGGCGCTCGCCACTCTCCTGGTGGGCTCTATGTTGGTTCAAACCTCCGGCTCCCATGCCAAAGTTAATTTACACGCAGTGACTGTGTAAACCTAGGTTATCTGGCATTCCATTCTGCCTGTTTGGCAGTTACTTGTCCATCACAAGTAACTAAGCCTGAGCCCGTGCAAATTGAACTTGAATCAACCAATCAAAGTCTTTGTAACTGCATTATGTAGTTTTTATCCAATCCTGTGTGCACAAGTTTGTAAAGCCACCCCACCCCTTCAGAATTATGTATAAAAGGTACGTGTTAGCCTGGGTCAGGACTCTTGTCCCTGAAGTCGCTGCATTGGCTTCAAACGTGAGCCCAGACTCGAGCCTGAATAAAGACCCTCGTGTGTTTGCATCGGAGCTGGCTCTTTGTGGTCTCTCAGATTTAAAATCTTGGGTTTAACAATTCTAATAAAAATTTTAAAAGGATTTTTAGTGGAACATGCCAAACTGACAAACTGTTTTTGAATTCACATGAAAGAGTAAACCTCTAAGAATAGATAAGAAGATTCTGAAAAGGATGAATAAAGAGAAATAAATTTCTCTAATAGAATACCAAGAATTTGTGCAATGTTATGGTAATTAGAGAGTATAATATTTATAAAAAGATCAAATGAATCTATAGAGTATAATAAAGAATATCAAAATATTTGCAAGCATATATGAGTATGTGTATATGGGATGAATAAAAAAGCCCAGAGGAAACTTTGGTCTTTTCAATAATAATGTTAGAACAATAGCAACTCCATGAGGAAAAACTTTAATGTTCATGCCATACTATTCACAAAAATGAACTCTAGATAGATTAAAATGTAAATATGAACATCTAAACTTGAAGAAAGAAAATATAGAAAAACATCTAAACTTGAAGAAAGAAAATATAGAAAAATACCTTTAATCTTGAAGTCAGGAAAGATTGTTTAAATAAATAAAAAAGAAATCATAAAGAAAAAGCAATAAATTTGGCTATATCAAACTTTATGACAAAAAACAATTAAAAGACAAGCCACAGATGAGAGACGATATAATTTTAACATAAGTATTCAGGATATATAAGAAATTTCTAGCCGGTCTCGGTGGCTCAGCCTATAATCCCACGCCTTTGGGAGGCTGAGGTGAGTGGATAGACTGAGCCCGTGGGTTCGAGACCTGCCTGGGCAGTGAGATCTCATCTCTACAATAAATAAAAAAATCAGCCGGGCATGGTAGTGCATGCTTGTAATTCCGGCTACTTGGAAGGCTGAGGTGGAAGGATAGCCAGAGCCCAGCGTGTCGAGGCTGCAGTGACCGGGAACGGCCACTGCACTCCAGTCTGGGAGACAGAGTGAGACTCCAACTCAAAAAAAAAAAGAAATTTCTACAAATCAATAGGTATATATAATCTAAGAAAAAAATGAAAAAGCAATTAACAAAAAAGAAAATTCAAATGACCAATAAACATATAAAAATACTTTAACTTCACAAGTGTTTAGAAAAAAAAAGTAAATTCAAAAAACAATGAAATACCACCTCAAGTTCAGATTGCTTAGATGAAGAAGACTGACAATACCAAGTGTGAAGGCAAGAAAATAGGAAATATGATACACTGCTGGTAGGACAGCACTTCATGCTAATAAAGTTGAAATGTGCATAGTTCATCACTAGAAACTTCACTTCTAGCTATATACACTAAAGGAACTCACACCTATGTATGCAAAGTACCACATAATATATTCATTGCAGTAGTTTTTTGTAATGTAAAGAATGGGAAAATTGTGTTTAGACTAGAAGAAAAAGTTTGGAATATATTTATGGGGTGTATTTAGCATAACAATGCTTATTTAATTTTACAGTTATTTTCAATTTCTTACGAATACTTCTTTTATTATAATTATTTTATGCAAACAACATTGTAAGTAAACTTGAAATGTTTACCATTTTATTTGCTGATATTCAGTCATGCCCAGTAAATGTTTAACAACAACCTCTTAAAAAAAGTCTTTATTTATTTGCTGGTTTCCATGGTGTAAATATTTCCACTATGATCAATTTCAAGCTACCAGCATAATGCCACTGAATGCAGTGATAGGAAGAGAAGTACACAGTAATCTCTACCTACCCCAGCATAGTACTGCATATCCTCATACCCCTTCTACTTCTGTATGCACAAGGTTTAAGAATCTTTGGTATTAGGTGGGTGCAAAAGTAATTGTGGCTTCAGATCGGGAATTTTAGATCATTATAAGTAGACACAGGCACAACTTTTTATTTTTTATTTTAAAGAGGTGGAGTACAATTCAGTATTGGGTATACAAGTGGTCATCGTACAGGTAAAATTTGGGCTTCCCTTTGATCCTACTTTGCCTGGTTTAAGATCAGGCATCCTTACTAATGTTATGTGTGCTCCTCCTCCTCAATCCCTGGAAGTTTCTGGCTACTTCCAATCCCTTTCTTACAGTATATGGTAAAAGTTCAGGGTCCACTTATGAGTGAGAACACGTGGTACGCGGTTCTTTGTTTCTGTGATAGATCACTGAGTATTATAGACTCTAAATCCATCCAAGTTGCTGCAAAGTCCATATGTTTGTCCATCTTTATGGCTGCAAATATTTCATCATGTATATGTACCACTTTTTTTTTAATCCAGTCCAGTTTTATGGGCAGCATGGTTGGTTCCATTTTTTTGCAATTGTAAATAGTGCTGCAATAAACATGTATGTGCAGGTATCTCTTTTGTAGAGTGATTTAAATTCCTCCAAGTATATTCCCAGAAGGTGGATTACTGTATCGTATGGAAGGTAAAGTTCTAGTTCTTTTAGGAACCGTCACACTGTTTTCCATAGAGGTTGAACTAGTTTGCATACCCACCAGCAGTGTAGAAGCATTCCCTTTTCTTTGCATCCTTGACAGCCTCTGTTGTTGTTTGTTTTATTAACGATGGCAATTCTTATTCGATTTGGGTGAAATCTCAATGTGGTTTTGATTTGCATTTCTCTGATGATTAGTGAAGCGGAGCATTTTTTCATGCGTCTGTTGGCTGCTTCTATGTCTTCTTTTGAGAAGTGTCTACTCAAGTTTTGTTGGGAGCCAGCCATGGAGGCCCACTGAGCGTTAGGGATCAGGAAGGGCCGTTGACCCCGAGACCACTAGGATGCATTTGGGAGCTATTGACCCCATTTCCTCCCCCTTTCTACTCAGCACTAACCAGATTAAGCTCCTGTGAGCTCAAAACATAAAAACTCTGAGACCGGGATGAACACAAGCTAACTTTAGAAGCTCATTGCTCCCATTCTTCCGCAAACTGCAGTTTTGGTTTTCACACAACTTATAATGCAAACTTGTGTCACATCTAAGAGCCTTAGTATTGGTCACAGGCTTCTGGGTCATGATCTTAGGATTTATTGAGGGTGTAAATTGTAGAATATAGTTTTAGAAGACAGCCATTTTGTTGAAAGAATGTGGTTGGGTTACTTGCAGGTAGCCCACTGTGAACTTTTGGACTGGGCCACATTCCAAACATTCTGGGATAGGCCACTTTCGTTTGTAAAGTAAATACTTAAGCTACTATAGAATTGTTTAACTTGGCATAAATCCATCAGCTTAGGATTAAAAGGTTTATAGAATATGTCAGTCATGGATTAGGTTATCTTTTGTTATGGGATTTTAAGATTATCATATGAAAAGGGTTTAAAGGCAATCATTGATTAAGTTTTCATGGATTAAGGTTTCTGGTGGGTGGGGGATGCCCCTCCCACATCTGACTTTGTGTATAAAAGACCCATAGTAATTCCCGATATCACACATCGCTTCTGCACTAGACTGGAGTCCAGTTTCTCTCTCTCTCTCTCTCTCTCTCTCTCTCTCTCTCTCTCTCTCTCTCTCTCTCTCTCTCTCTTCTTCCCCCCAATTGCCGATGCCGTCTTCACCTTTGGAGTACCCTGAACACAGCTGGAGCTGGTCTCCGGCATGCTTTTTGCTAGCTTTTTATTTATTTATTTATTTTTATTAAACTTTTTGAGTCAGAGTCTCACTGTCATCCAGGCTGGAGTGCAGTGGCACATTCATGGCCACCACAGCCTTGACCTGCTGGGCTCAG